GATTGTCAAGAGCTCTTGGCAAACCTTCCAGATTTAATGACACTATAGACAGATGGCCGATAAGAAAAACAGATATCTATCGTTAGCTTAAGTTATAATTGAAGAATAAGTAAAATTCCTTGGAATAGAATATCAAAAGAAACATTGAGGTATATTAAGTTCCAAAGTAATCTTGCAGAGTTAATCACTGGTTCTTTTTTGCATTGATACAAATATTTTTGTAAATCATTGCAATTTCTGTTCTCTCCAAAAGCACGCATTTTAATGTTTCTAAATCTTCTCATTTTTTGAGTCTATAATTTACAATATTAGTCCCAGCATATAAAGGATAAAGCACTCGGCGTTGATCAATCCCTGAGTGATGCGCCATGCACTCAACATCATTAAGCATTTTGGAAGTAAGTGAGCACATATCTGGCCATTGCAAATGACTCGCGGTGGCCTACCCATTGTGTCGAGCCAGTGCTCCTATCCTTTCAGATAAGTTTGGTACCAATTTGCCGACTCATGAGGTATGGATGGCTTGGTATGCTACCGGCGCGAAGATCTATCCCATGTGGACTGCTGGGCGCCTCCGACCACTGCGGTACACGCACTTCCAGGCTTAATATCAGCTTTTGAAGGAACTCTTAAAAATTTACGTAGGTCACATAGGAAAACAGGAACACACATGCTTTGTTTTGGCCTTTTGATTTTTTTTGTACGCTTTCCCTGGTGTCTCAGAAAGGAAATTAAAGACTGATGAAGAGAAAATTAGTTCAAAAATGTATATTAAAACATTTCATCACTGCGGTTATCGAATAAGACTTGTAGAATAGAGTTACAACTGCTAACTGAGCAAAAACTTGCAGGAATAAAACCGCAACGATGCTGAGATATTTTGAAAACTCTGGACCGCAGGTGTCTGCGGTAGGGAACGAACGCTCTACTACCCTTTTAGGGGGCTAACGCGCTCACCACTACACCATGCGGGTCCCTCATTTGGCCTGTCTCTCAGCTAGTTCACTAGTAAAAGTTTCAGGATTACTTAAAAATTGGAAAATATCTAAGAACTGCGGAAACACTGAGTAAAGATGACATGAGGTAGGAGTAAAATGGGAATACCTCAAATAATTACGAAATAAAAGGGCAAGCGACCTTCATAGGAATAAAAATGGACGTTTAGTGAAGAAATATGGAGGAGGGATTAATGGTTGACGAGGTCGGTGAACGAGATGCCAACTCGAGGTGAATTCGTAACTAGTAATTTTGCAAATGGAAAGACTTTTAGACAAATATAGTTGTTTATTCAGATATCGTCTGTAACGCTAGGTGGATGAAAGACTAAATCCTTTAAGTCTTTGATATCAGGAAAAAAGAAGAAGAAGTAAGACAGTGAAAAAAGGGCAACTAAAAACGTTGTATGTGATGTATTTTGCCTCCTTTTCCTCTCTTTTTTCTCACTTTCGCTCATCCCCTTTTTCTCTCTCCCTCTCTCTGCCCATCTGTTTGTGAAAATAGCTGCCCGAATGCTGAAAAAATTACTACACATTAAAAAAGGGATGAAGAATAAAGGGTAAAGCCTTCGGCATTGATCAATCCCGCCTTGCATTCGACTTCATTAAGCATCATTTGGAGGTGACTGAATGCACATCTGGCTTTCACAACAATTCGCGGTGGCCATCGAACCAGTGCTGCTATCCTTCCAGACAAGTCTGGTACCAATTTGCCATCCTCAAAGGGATGGGGGGCTTGGTGGGCCATAGGCGCGGGGATCGATTCCACGTGCCGTGTGCGTTGCATGGCGTTTCCGACCACTGCACCACACGCGCCTTATAAAGATGATATTCGTGAAAATACTATCATATTGTGCAAACAGCTTGTTCAACAGTCCGAGACTTCGAACTTAAATGATGCGTGAGGCAATCAAACTAGAGGTTATTAGTCATTTATTTGTTCGAAACTTCGAAATAGTGGTCACGACGAAGTGCAGACCGGTGAACACATCTTCGAATATCAGATTACACAGCTATAAACATTTTTTGTGAGCGTTAATGCATGATATTTGGGTGATTGGAAGTTTTGAAATGTTCTGAACTAAGTAGACGTTCGTTGGTTCTTTTCTTCCCTTCCGCATCATGGAGTAGCGAACATCCTCAAGATCTAGACATAGTCGTCGATTCGGTTAGTTACCAACTGTCAGACGACATTGGAAGACATTTAGACGCTTAAATGCCCCTTTTGCTTTTTCGTTGATGATTTCAAATGACGACATCTTCGAGACCATCGTCATTCGGAATCGGTTTTCATTTTTCCAAAAAAAAATCTCTCTTAACTGACTCGATGAACTTGAAACGCCGCAGCATTTTCTAATTGATATCACAACGAGTTTGCTAGAAAGTTCTGCTGTCCACCAATCACTGGACCATTGATTCTATTGGAAGTACTTTAAGTGCAGAAATAAGGATCAGTATTAGGTCCAGCAGTAGAAATCCGTAGAAATCCAGAATCCCAATGTCTTCCGTGTACTACGAAATCTTCTAGAAATCATAACACCGTCCAGTGTTAAGAAAAACTATTACTGCGCACCAATAGTATTCAGTAGAATGGCTCATGTAGTTACGGCGAGCATTGTCAATTGATGAATTTTATTGTTTTTAACCTTCATTAGTTTGTATCTTGGCTAACCTGTTCATCGATCTGTGACATACAACTTTTATTTATCATAAGGGTTACTCTAAAAGTTGAGGAGGGGTTCGGTACAATTATTCCAACAGCTGAGTTAAGAATGAACTAATGGCATAACTCGTTGCTGTTACGGAAGAAACCTATGCGGAAATTGACAGCCTCCGTACCCGACCATTAGAGGTGTCAACATCCCTCTCAGAACCCTCTAACCTGAGAATGCACTTGCATAAATTTTATGAGACTAAGAAATATATTGCCAAACGAGTAAAGTACCAGTTAGACCGAAAGTGTTCGTCGCTCACGCTGTTCCTTCTACGATGAGGGGCTTATCAATTAAATAAGTAAGTGTTCGAAAAACAAATGTCTTATTTCGAAACCGACTTTCCTTGAACCTCGGTATCACTAATCAATATGTATTCTTTCTTTGATGAGCTTACACGAGGTTGATAATGATATTTATTTAAACGATATGATATTATTATGATATATGTTATATATATTATATTATATTATACAATTTATGATTATTATATTATTATTATACATTATATTATATATATATTTTATATATATATATATTTTTATGATATTTATTTAGACCTTAGCCGACAAATGGCTTAGTTTGCTAGGCAAATCAGACGTGATTTTACAAACTTCCTCGTTGGTAATGTTTCGGTGTAATTAACTTCGCTAAGACGACTTGAGATTCCAGTCAAGTGCCCACACCAGTTATTGTTAGCCATGAGTAACTCCTTTCACTCATAATTGATTCCACTGGAGTGGAGCAGTGGAACAATACATGAATCTTCGAAAACCACTGTATTCAACGATGTAGTAACCGAAACGCGAGCGTGATTCATGCGATAGCTTCCCGAGGACGATCATCAACATCAATGATTCTGTCATCACTTTACGAATCACATGAGATGTTCGTCATTATGACAGAAAACGAACTTCGCTTGAAATATCGTAGGTGATAATCCCATCAATTTTTCATTTGAATCGCTCGAAGACCACAACCGAGATTGTTCTGCTTCGCCAGACTTATTTAACTCCTATTTACCGAATAATCCTTTTTACACGGCAGGCTATTATGTGAAATACAACCACAAGTATGCTGAGATATGAGCGAAACTCCGAACTATGAAAAAAACTATAAAGAACTATTTAAAAAAAAATTACAAAAGATAAACGTGAAACGTGATGATTTCGACAGCCTCGACTTAACGAGGTTCAATGCCGATTTGGGCTCCTCAGATCATTACCGTTGACAGGTGATTGCTGATAGCGTAGGGTTAGGGTAAGAAACTGGCTGAGAGAAAGTCAAATCAAAGCCCTTGGATAGGCTGAGGTTGACAAATGAGACCCGCAGATCGCAAGTTCGAAGCCCACGTGGGTTCCTTAGTTTGTCCATATCTCAGCATCCTTGTGCACTTCACATTGTTGAAATTCTTCGCTGACAACACAAAGCTGGTAAGGAATTCAGCTGGGAACTCAAGATTTATGGAACTCATCGCTGACACCATCCGCGAGATCCAGACGACCAAAAAACAAGCTCAGTGGAAAATTCCGTACTCAACTATAAAAAGAAAGGATAGGCTAGACTGAAATCTCTTATTTTCCTATATGTAGTACACTTTTCACGCTAAGACTTCACGAGTGAAAACTCTACAGAATCTCACTTCGATAAAATAGTGCATGTGATTTAAAGGTTTAAAAATAGGTTGGATATCTAATAAAAGAGGAAATGATGGAATGGTAATCAACGAAGCACAGAAGAATCAGAAAACATTGAATTATGTCTCGCTTCGTTGAAAAACATATTAATGTCGGCAACGATGATGATGACCACAAAGCTCAGCAGCAGAAGGAAAATTAAAGCTAACTAGGATTCAATAGAGATTCGAAAAACTTCAATAGGTTGGGCTTTTACAACAATATCCCTAATAGTTCCCAAGATCGACTTTCTCTTAACCTCGGCATTGGAATATGAATGTGTCGTTTTCTTGCTCAGCAATCGCGAGGTTTTTAAACAGCATACATTTACTTCCATAAAGAAAACACAATACAATACAACGCTAGCTGACGTTTCGGCAGTATCGCCTTCTTCAGAGCCGCTTTTTCGTGACTTCCAATGAGGAAGTTTGGAACAGCTGATTATAGTCGCATGTGGTTGACGACCGCATCATGAGTCGTCAACCACATGCGACTATAATCAGCTGTTCCAAACTTCCTCATTGGAAGTCACGAAAAAGCGGCTCTGAAGAAGGCGATACTGCCGAAACGTCAGCTAGCGTTGTATTGTATTGTGTTTTCTTTACGGAAGTAAATGTATGCTGTTTAAAAACCTCGCGATTGCTGAGCAAGAAAACGACACATTAATATCCCTAATATTGCTAGAAGAAAGGGAGAGGAAGATTGACAATAACGATGACAATGGCAACGGGAATGAGGACGGGAGTGGGAACGAGAATGAGAGTGAGTATGAAGCTGAAAGCTAAAATGAGTAATTGATGAGGATTACACTGGGATGAGAGCGAGAACGTTCTTGAGCACGAGAATAAGAATGGAAAAGAGAGCGAGAATGAAAACGAGAATGAGAATGATAATGAGTATAAGGATGAGAACGAGAATGAGAATGATAATGAGTATGAGGATGAGAACGAGAATGAGAATGTCAGATGGGACTCACTGGGTGAGCGAGAGTATAACAATGAAATTGTGAATGGAAACGAAGACGAAAAGAAAACGCTATGAAAACGATGCGCCCATTAGAGGACTTATGTGAAAATGGCTCTGGCGTTGAATAACCAATCGTGACTTTTGTTTTTTACAACTACTAACTAAGCCCCCAATCAGACTTAACCGTTAAGCATTACTTGATTAAATGACTACCACTCTGAATTAAATCATCTACTTGGATTATCACATCATTTCTTAAACTGTGGTAGGCAAAGGTTCATTGGCGTCTCGTATGAAACTCGTAGAAACGTCAAAGATGACTGATGGTCCGGACGCCGTTGACACCACAGAGTAATGACTTTTCGCCTAACAACATACTGAATTGCTAGAGTGTCAAAATGAATATGATGGATAAAGCCATTGGCGTTGATCAATCACTGAGGGATACGTTATGCATGCGAGCTCTTCAAACATCGTAAAAGTCATTCAATGCATATCTGACACATATACTGAACCGTGATGACCTACTGATGAATCTAGTCGGTGCTGCTGTCATTCTAGGTAACTACGGTACCAATGTGCTGACCCTGGAATGACGAAGGACCTGGTGAACGCTGGGCGCGGGTCGAACCGGCGACTGATCTAGTGCATCTCTCTTACTGCCCCTCTAGCAACTGCCCCATGCACGCTCCTCATATAAGTGCAGCGAGTGAATTCAAATGACTACTCTCAGTGGAGCATAACCGAGAACTGGTGACGGGAGAACTCGAACAACCGATGAGAGGTTTTTCTTGCCGTTGTTGTTATTTTGCATTTATCGATAAGAAAGCCCATTCATGAAAATGAACAATGATTTCCTAGAAAATATGTTAGTAAATACTTTAGTGCTTTAAACTTGTTTTCATACGGATAACTATACTTTCAGTCAAAGAAGCTCAATTACGGAATACGTGCTGGCTGCAAGGTTTGAACTTTCGTCACTTCGATCAAATTAGGGTTGGCGTTCGCATCCGAGAAAAATATCTGATAAAAGAATCTCCAATCGAGTTGAGCTCGAGTTTCCTACTGTTTTAGGATAAATAGGAGCATTTTCGAAGTCGTTTCATTACGAGTCGCTCTCTTGTTCTACAAACGGACACCAGGTTACGGCTGAAATTCATGTGGACCTTGAGTGTTCACTACAAGAGTCGCATAAAAAAGAGTAATTCAAGAGACTATCTGCATTTCTTTTCAATACACGAACTTGAAAACATTATTGATTTCGGCCTAAACAAAAGTGCAAGCATTTGTTGTCGAATCAAAATTTGAAGGACAAAATGGAATTTCACAGCAACTGCAATTCAACACTCTAAGCATCACTCCACAGGATCGACTTTCTATTAACCTCGGCATTGGATTACAAATTTGTCGCTTTCTTTTCCAGTAATCGCGAGGTTGTCCTCTATAACAACCACGCGATTGCTGAAAAACGAAACTATACCTTAAGCACCACTGACTGAACAAGTGCCGCCCACTCATTTCGGATATGGGTCGTCAAGTCACACAAATTAGTTAGTGTGAAGCCTGACATTCACTGGAGGTCACGTAACGTGGTGTCATTGAGATCCAGAATTTGTGATAAAGTAGATTCACCACTGCATCATTTCATCAAAGGCGCGGTGCTGGTTGTACACGGCCTCGCTCTCACCAAGGTTCTCACATCTTCGGGGTAGGGAAAGTGGTACGCGACTTCTCTGGAAAAAATTCACTCTCTGCAATCTAAGTGGGAACGCTTTAGGCCTGCTATCTTAGAACTTCAGCAACTCAACCACATCAAGCAGCCAGGAACAATTCCAATCATAAACGTCCGACGCAGGCTTTTAATTGTTCGAATGAATCAATGTTCATGGACAAACTCGTGTTGACAAGAACGCCGACGCCACCTATTTCTCTACTGCCGCATGTTCCGAGGAACAGTTCTTCTATCATAAACGGGCGTCTTCTCGTGTCGGCAAGGCCGACGACGTTGTACCTCATCCTTCTTGCTTGCGTGATCAAGTCTTCTATCGAGGAAGGTCAGCTTATTCGTGAATAAAGAATAAAAATAACACCTCGCGTTTGCTCAACAAGAATACGAAGAATTACTTGATCAATTCCGAGGTTAATAGAAAGTCGGTCGTGGGAGTTACCGAAGATGTACCAGCAAGATACTTCCGACTAGTAAAAGAGGCGCTGTCACTTAGACAAAAGATCGTCTCAGCTCGACGGTCAATACATTTCCTCTGCCGCTGTCTAAAACACCGAGTCGTCCCGAACTTCACCAAACGAAGACGACTAGATGATGTTTGTGGACTACCAGAGGACAGTCACCGAGTACTGGACATCGAATTGCGAATACCACGCACCTGTCTATAAAGCAAACAAGATTAAATGTTCGCCAAGTGGAAGTGCGAGACGAAGGAAAACTTTTGTGCTCAGTACTTGGAGGACCGCCTCTGGAGGAGAATAATGGGTGGGTTAGTGTTGATTTGAAACTCTATTAGGTCTGACGCTAAAGTAACTTTGCGGAGAAAATTCGAAGACCTTTTGAGTAAATCCCATAACGCACCTTCAAGAGGGCACAGAAATACCGCTAACGAACACCAAACAGGTCACAATAGGATAAACAATGTGCAACAAAATTCAAGGCTAACCGCGTTAGGAGGCATTACTCTCCATGACGGTGCGCGCTCGTTATTAGAATTGGGGCCGAGTTTCTCACCATCTGAACCCATTTCTAAGGTAACCTTGCTTAGGGTCGCATGTAGTTTACATGAACTTCAAGAGACTCCGCAAAAAAGTTGGAGATGAAACGCAAAATGGGTGCGAACAATACCAAGTGTGGTCCCTACCAATAGCACCATTTCCTCAGTCGTTTTATAGACAACAAGAGCCCAATAATAAAGTTGATGTTAAATTTTGGATGTTTACGAATGAAACTCTCAAAGTCCTTAACCACTATCGCGCGAAAAGATACAGCTCAAACCTCACTGAAGTGCAAAAACGTGGTATGCGAGAGGTTAAAGAGCTGATAAGGTTGAAAAACATAAGACTTTTCGTTAGTGATAAGGGTGGAGAGTTTGTCGTAATTCCTCATCAGCTAGATGTGGAGATAACGAAAAAGCATCTTGAAGATGCTTCGCTTTATCGCCCATCATCTGAGAAGGAGTTTGAAAGCAAATACCGAAAATTGAACCACGAATGGGCCAAAATGGCAAGGGTTGCTGCTTTAAAACCATCAATTATCTCTCAACTAAAATTGACTTACCAACATGTCCTGTTGTGTACTTGGTTATAAAAACTCATAATTTAGTATCCAGCGATGATCTTGCGTCTACCGATCCATCATTGTTTAAGGTTAGACCTATCACTAGCTGTGTAGACGGGCGAACGGATAGGATAACATGGCTTTTAACCCTAATATTTAACCAGTTGTTGAAGCACATTCCAGCCCATCTTTCGAATACCCAGATGTTTCTGGATCGTCTATGTACTGCGCAGCCCAGCAGCGCCTTCGTGATGGAGTCCTTCGACGTTACTGCTCTTTACACAAACGTGTCGAACGACTTCGCAGTGCAAGCTATATTTGAACTCCGCACGTAACATCACGGCTCTGAGGAAGGCGAAGTCACCGAAACGTCAGCCGTCGATCAATAACATCAAGAACAACGACAACGACAACGATGACCTGTACCAACCTCGCGTCAGCTTAAGAAGATCAGTTTATAAGATCACATAAATAAATATAACAACTATCTATGCCGAGGTTTATAGAAAGTCGGTCTTTCGAGTTATATTCGAACTCCTTATACAACACGAAGGAGAAATAAACATGTATAGCTTCAAGATAAAGCAATTGATGGCACTCTTAAAAAATGGTTGAGCAGCTCAATCTTCAGATAGTCCGGAAAGTACTACGCTCAAATAAGAGGGTTGGCAATGGGACAACGACTGGCTCCAAGCCTTGCCAATGCGTTTATGTCTAAGGTGGAAGCACCGGTGACCGATCTCGGGTCACTACTCTACTGTAGATGTATAGATGACTGCTTTGTCCTTTGCTTAACACAAGAGGAAATGGACAAATGTTTCGAGTTGTTGAATGGACAGTCAGAGTATACCAAGTTCACCCGAGAAAAACCGAAAGAAAACTGGCTTCCATTCCTGAACATCCAAATTAACCTGTCAGAAATTACGAATTGGTACCGAAAGCTAAGTAGTAAAGACATCTTAGCTCATTACCTCTCCTCCCACCCCCTCACACGAGAAGGGTTTGTAAGAAACATGTTTCGAACAGCAACCAACGTGTGCACGGGAAAAGAGCAGAGAGAGCAGTCCCGGAAGTTGGCGCGGCAAATAGCCATTTCTAATGGCTACGAAACCGTAGCTCGGGAAAGGTGTAGGGAAAATCCTAGGCCCCCAAACGACAACTCTAGCGATAGAAAGGTCCCGTTTATCCTACCTTCAATCCCAAATGCTGTAAGTACAGCTATAAAACGCTGCTTAAAAAAGGCGGGTCTAGAGAATTCAGTAGGCGTAGTTGAAATGCCACCGAGTAATCTTAGACGCCAGTTACTTCGTGACCGCCTATATGAGCGTCTATGTGCAACGCAAAATTGCATAATTTGCCTCAATGGTAGAGACGGTGATTGCATGAACTCGGGTATAGTTTATCTGATCTACTGTAAGGCGTGCCGAGACGAATACATTGGCGAAATCCAAATACCCCACTAGGCACGCATAGGACCCAGAGACATAACGAGGAGGACTTTGAAGCGTGTCACAATCCTCGCACAGGAATCGAGAACACAAGCGCGCAAAACTGTGGAGGCGTTCTGGATTAATTCCAAATCTCCGAAAATGAACCGCAAGGAAGAATACCTCATTATCAAGTGTGATATTGGGCAGTATGTAAGCTTGTTATTCTGGGAAGGGTACATTACGCTTCCATGTGAATTCTGTGCGGTCGGTCTTCACACGACACACTCAGTGGAAGCCTCATAGAAAGCGGTGAGTGTGCAAAGCTGTGTTCAGTGTGATTGAAATCTTGGTTTAGCGTT